GTCTTTTCTTTGCAATGTTCAGGTTTAACCCCTTTCTTACTCTTAGAGGTTAACTCATCATCTTTTTCATAAGGTTCAAAAATGATTTTTTCAATAACCTTACCACTATAAAGAGTAATGACTAATTGGACTTGATCCATATGTCGACTTACAGAGTTGTTTGCATTTAAGTAATGACTAATTGGACTTGATCCATGTGTCGACTTACAGAGTTGTTTGCATTTGAATTGTATTGTCCTTTGAGATTTTGCTATAGTTAAGATGAGAATTTACCTTTCTCCTGAAACTAAAAGCTAATGTGAATCTTGCAAGAATATTTTTAAAATCTGTCATGATTGAGCAAGTTGAGTGTTAATTATCTCTTGCTTTTTAATGAATGCATGCAATGTTTCCTTAAGATTTCTTCGAGGATGAGGAACATAAAGAAATGCATATTTATGAGAATTTTAAAAATTATAGTGTGCTTGAAATGGTAGTTGTAAAGTTTATACATTGTTGTTACTACTTTTCAAACTAAAATTTAGATAATCTCTTCAACCTGGATTACATATTTGTGAGTATGGATCATGATTTGACCATTAAAAATTGTTTAAAGCACTGACTACTTCATGGAGACATTCCTTAGAAGAAGATAAATTTAGACAATCATTAATTAAATGTTCATTAGTTTTATAAATTTGACACAAAATTTATTGTACAGATTTTAATTGACCACTCCTTTTCAATTCCAATGCCTCGACTTTTCTAGCTAAAGATGTAAATTTAGCTTGGAAGTCATGATCTTCCCTAAGGTTGTATATATCTCCACTAAATATATGAGTTTGAGTTTTATTCGGTGTCTCATAAGTACATGTAATGTCACAATTTTAAGCATTTTCAGCTAACAAGTCTATGTACTCCATTGCTTCATTAAGGTCTTTATCTTCAAAAGTTTCATTGCACATCAATTCCACAATTTGCCTATTTTTAGGTGTTAACCCTTCATAAAAATATGAAACCAATCTTTATATTTCAAAACTATGATGAGTCAACAGTATTAAGCAAGTCTCTATACCTATCCTAACACTAGTAAAATGTTTCTTATGACTTTTAAATGAATGTAGTGATTTGTCCTTTGAAAAGGTTTGTTCTATGAGATAGAAAAAACTTCTTTAAAAATTATGTTTGCATTTCATTCCAAGCACGAATGGATCCTAACCTAAGATTTTGTAGCCATGTTTTGGCTTTATCTTTTAAAGAAAAAGAAAAAAGCTTTAATATCATGGTATTTATACTACAATTTAAGTCATTATAAGTATTACAAACTTGTTTAAACTCTCTTAAATGCAAATATATATTTTCTAGATCAAAGCTATGAAAAGTAAGTAAAAGTTAAATAATGTTTGGCTTAAAATTAAAATGAAATGCTATAGGAGGAAAAATTATGCATGATGATGGACTTGTTCTTGTTGGATTCATATGGTCTCTTAGTGTTCTAACTTGATTATTCTCATTATTCTCATTTTAAAGCGATTAATTATCCTCTTTGGCCATGTTTTCTGAAGAAGATGAGGATACCCTAAAAAGTCTACCACTTAATGTATATAACTAAACTATTATGCATATGTAGGAAGAAAATAAAAAGAAGAAAAAAAAAAGAAACAAAAATTATATATAAAAAAATTAAATTAAAATAAATATTATAATTTATACAGAAATTTACCTCCTCGGCAACAACGCTAAAAACTTAAGTACCTCCTCGGCAACAACGCTAAAAACTTGAGACGACCAAAAAATTGATGTCTTCTTCCAAGTGCAAGAGTGCTGAAGTAATAAATAACCCAGCAAGACTAGAGTCGAACCACAACGAGATTAATTATATAATAATAATAATAATAATAATAATAATAATAATAATAAGTTAAAGAGAACTTTAAGATGTAAGATTAATGTGAGAATTAAACAATGATAAAAACAAATGTCAAGGTTAGAGGATCCACTAATGGTATTAAAAATAAATATAATATAAACTCTTTTTATTATTCAACTGAAAACTACACACAAAAAAGGTTCCAATCGGATGATTTGTCATTAATAACTCATTATAAATTGTTAACATGATCATATTAATTATCTTGTTTAAATAACATCAAACTTTTAAATATTGTTAGGAATTCATGATGTTAAGTTATGTTAATAATAAATCTAGTTCTTTTTGTAGCACAGATGTAGGTTACACTATATGGTTAGCTATGAAAGTGCCACGTATTTGTTGTACCAAGTATTATACAAAACAAATCTAAATTAACCATTTAACAAGTAAGATATTATGAATTAATAAGATAAAAATAATAAGACATGTTAATAGCAAGTTGTTTAGAATATAATCATTGAAGTCCATATTGAATTTATATTATACTTATTCTAGCATCGTTAGTGAAACATTTTCACCTTGACATAATAAACTTAATTAAACATAATAAAGAAGAGAAACATAAATAAACAAGAATATAACATAATTATATAAGTATAGTAAAGGAAATGAAAGATATAAATAAGAGGTTAATGAAACTATAATATGCAATAAAACTTGAACATTAAACTGCAAAAAAAAGAACGAATAAGGAAATGATCTTGATTTGAAAACCAAGATGTCTAAATGTATGGTAAATACCTCCTTTTATAGCTAAAATTTAAAACTATTGATTTGATGACTAATTATTGAGTGGGTGGCTACCTTTTGACTTGGTGACGACCTTTGTATTTTTGTCTAAACAAAACAGCATTGCTAACATCAGAATTTGAATAAATAGTCTTCATGAAAGTTTTGGAAATTTGTCTCAGCTTTCCAAAATGATCTTGATTTGAAAACCAAGATGTCTAAATGTATGGTAAATACCTTCTTTTATAGCTAAAATTTAAAACTATTGATTTGATGACTAATTATTGAGTGGGTGGCTACCTTTTGACTTGGTGACGACCTTTGTATTTTTGTCTAAACAAAACATCATTGCTAACATCAGAATTTGAATAAATAGTCTTCATGAAAGTTTTGGACATTTGTCTCAACTTTCCAAAAAAAAAAAAGCTCAATAGGACTTCTAGAACTCGAGATATAAGCCGAAAACTTAATAGTATTTGGGTTGTAAGACAGATTCAAACTTCTCTTTTGATGTTAAGATTTGGATTTTCAAACAGTAGAATTGAATCTTGAACTTTTATGAATATTTTAGGCTTATGTCTTAACTTTCCATCTATATAAACCAAATCTAAATCCAAGTTCTACAGTTACAGTTATAATTAAACCAAACCTAAATCCAAGTTCTACAGTTACAGTTATGATTCAATAACCAAATAGTATTCTAATTTGAATTGAACAACATCTCTTATATAAACTTAGTTATTTCTTTGTCTTTTTAATTTCAATAGTTAAACAAATCAATCAATCATTTGAATTATGAAACATACCTGTATTTAAAATGAGCATTTATCATAAATTAAAGATACTTATATTATTAGACTTGTTATTATAAAACATGTTTAAGTTAGAGAATTGAATGATATTTTAAGTACAATATGATGATATAAAATCTTAATAAAAATACACTTTAAGAAATAATTAGCACACTTTTTCAGCCAATAAATCCATCTATAGAAGTATTATTGATGGACTCACTAATAGACCACAAATCATAAACGAAAGTTTTTTTAATGGATTATATTTTTCCATGATCATGTTAACAACTTTTATACCAATAAATTATAACTATATCGATAAAAAAGTCTATCAATAAATATAAAATTTTTGGGTAGCAATCCTAAATTTAATTGCTAGGATGTTTTTGGAAAACTTAAATCAATATAATAAAAAATAATATCAGTGTTAAGATTAGATGCTTTTCAGTAAGGCTTCATATATATATATATATATATATATGAAAAAGGAAAATGAAAATCGAACTATTCAAAATTAACGCAAATTAAAGGGAATTAATGATTTTTGTGACAATTCAAGCTGGCCAGGTGCGTATAAGAAATTTCCTCTGCAAAACAATTCATCGATCTTCTGCAAAAATAATGAAATTAATCAAACAAGTTATATAGAGAACACACATGCTATATTGACCAGTGATACAAATTAATGCTAACAAATCAAAATCTAATGGTGAATTAAATGCTGGTAATTAAGAAATTGTGTTTCCTCTATTTATTTTTCAAAATTAATTTTGAGATTTTTATTTTTCAAATATTTACTTTGAATGTATCAAATAGTATTAGAGATTCACCTTTGAAATTTTATCTTTAAAATCTCTTTTTGTTTTTTAAAAAAATTTATCTTAATTTCAATTGACTCGAAGTTGCTCGAGAATTCATCTCACCATACAAGAAAAAAAAATAAGAATTTAAATGTTGGTTATAAGAAAGATGGATTTTTTTTGTAATAATATTTTCAAGAGCAATTACTTAGGTAGTTTATTTCTATTATTGACTCGAAGTTGCTCGAGAATTCATCTCACCATACAAGAAAAAAAAATAAGAATTTAAATGTTGGTTATAAGAAAGATGGATTTTTTTTGTAATAATATTTTCAAGAGCAATTACTTAGGTAGCTTATTTCTATTATTAGATTTTTTTAGAGATATTCGACAATGAAAATAGTGTGATCTGTTGAATTTAGGATTGTAATTAATTAATTTTTTTTTTAAATTTATATCTTTATCTATGAACCCATGTAATAATCTCCTGATTATAATTTATTTTTAGCTAATTTAGAGAAAATGGTATGTAAACCATAATGGCAACCATTGATAATACAGAACGAAGTTAATCAAGAAATAAATCTGTATGTAAATATATCATAATTTATTTGGACAACAAGAATAATTAACTCAATACAAAAAAATCTTAAATCCAAATCCACTCCAGTCTAACATAATTGAAGAACAAATCCATCAAACCCTAAGCAACCAAAACGGCAGCAAAAAGCCCCGCAGACAAAACTCCACCAATGGACACTTTCTTCAAAACAGCATTTGATGGTTTAGGAGCTTCAGCTGGTGAATAAGGTCAATGGACACTTTCTTCAAAACAGCATTTGCAGCTGGTGAATAAGGGTTGGCTGGAGCCGGAGTAGAAGATGGAGGAGGCGAAGGAGGAGAGTCAACCGTAGGGGCTGGAGTTGGTGCAGCTTTCGGTGTTGCCTTTGATGGTGATGGTGAAGGAGTAGGAACAGAAGCAGGTGCAGGTGTAGGAGAATGATCAGGAACATGGGCTTCTGGTGAAGGTGTAGGAGAAGATTTTGGAGACCGTGCCATGGTAGACCCAACAAGCAAAATCGCCATCAGGGTCATCCAGACAACACTTGTGGAAGCCATGGCAGATACTCAGAGACAGACAATGTACTCAAGAGAGTTTTGTTTAGCGTTAGAATTGGAAGAGAGGTGCATGTATTTATAGGAGGAAAAGATGATGTTTTTTTAGAGCATGTAGTGAGGCAAAATACACTCTTTTGTGCTGGAATTAGGGTAGGAAATTACACTGTTAAGGAATATAGTTGTCAACAGGTAATGACGGTCCCGCGAATGAGATGGTTAACAAATCTGTACAATCATAGTTAGGATATAAATGATATTATCAAATCAGTCAAAATTAATAATTTGAAGATTGTCATTTATTTTTTATATAATTAAATTATAGTTTTGAAAACACACAGTGTGATCGACCCTTTTTTATGCTAAGATTTAGAATCTTTTCTCTTTTATTTTTGGTAAAACCTGAAATCTTATTTCTAGGTTTTTCTAATCAATTACAACCATTGATTTGTTAATGAACAATATTTGTATTATTCAAATATTTTTCTGATTAAGTTATTTGGTAAATTAGCATGAGATGCTGTAATGTTATTTTATTTCTTTTGCAGGCACTTTTTACACAATAATCAAATTGTTCTAATGATGACCATTGCAAGCTTTTGAACTCAAAGTTGGAGACGTATATGTTTAAGAGTGTAATTGTAATTACTTTTAAAATTTATTTTATTTAAAAATATATTAAAATAATATTTTTATTTTTTAAAAATTATTTTTAACATCAACATATCAAAAAAATCTGAAAAACTAAAACAATATTAATTTTAAATAAAAAAATAAAATTAAAAAAAAACACTTTTATAACTAATTTCATGGTTACACTTTCATTTCTGGATTCAATATTTTATTTTCCTTTTATTGTTTTTATTTCTCGGATAGCTATTAAAGAAGACTTATTATTGAAAACATGATATATAAAAGAATCCAATTAAATACTAATTAACAAAACTCAAGATTACGGTTGGAGAAAATTTATTGTCGAACGTGTAATTATAGAAAAAATAAAATAAAATAAATTGAACACTAATTAAAATAAATCAAGAGAGTTTCTTAAGATTAACATATAAAATGGTAGAATATCATACAACACTAACGAGGGGGAAAGGAGAAAGAATTGAAGAGTACAATGATCAATCCTCGAATATTGGATTTTCATCCAAACAAGCTTAATCATGATCCTTCGGTGGTTACCTTTGGCAGACTATCATTAACTTTATAAAATCTCTATTTAATACAAAATTTAGTGGCATTAACTAATTCTATGGTTACACTTTCATTTCAATAATTAACTAAAATATTCTAATATTTTTTGTCAAAGATATAAATTTCATTGAAATACAAATAGAAAAGACCTCTACATTTAGATATGAAACCAACCAATAGATGATCATATAACTCACAAATTTACAAGAAAATCCTCAATTTGGAGACTCTTTGTTTGCATCCAATTGGCAAATTGAGTCAGTTTTAATTGTTTGCAATTAATTTTGGACTAAATTGGATTTAATATAATTGAAATTAATGAATTAATTAGACTAAATTGGACTGAAATAAAAGTCTCAGACAATCATTTAGGCAAATCTATTCTAACTATTTTAATTGCTAACAAAAATATATTTGTTATATTAAAACTTGCGATGAAAAATATTTTGCAACACAATTTTAACCGAAACTAACATATTGGCTAGCCTGCAAATCAATAATATATATTTTTAAATGTTAAAATAATATAAAAAATATAAAAAATATATTAAATATTTTTAATTTAATAACAATATTAAATCCAAAATAATATTGGATTTGACTATAAAGACAGGTCCAATAACATTGGGTTTAGCTAGGTATTGGATCTAATTTTTTTAGGATTGGCTGACAATATAATCCAATATTATTGGGTCAAGCTACGTAATCAGACCCAACATCAATATATTATTTTAAAAATAGAAAAACTTAAAAAATATTAATTTGTAGTGAAGAAGAAAATCTAAAAATTTTCATTTTTTAAAAAAGTATTTTTAAAACACAAAAAACAAATATGCTTTAATAAGAAAATTCAAACCAACTTGAAATGAAAAAAAAAGTTATCATCATTCAACTTTTGTACAATATAAAAAAACTCATATCAATTTTTTTTATAACTTGAAAAAAAATCAATAAGAAAAAAGAAAAAAAATTAAAGTGAGAAAAAATAAAATTAGAAATATCTTAAAAGGAAAAAAATTAAAGGGAGATAAATTAGTTGTCGATGTATTATGTGTTTGTATTATGCACTATTTATGATGCTACTATTAAAAATACTTTATTTGAAAATGATGATAGTACAAATACATTCCGTGTTTTTAATTTATGTGGAGTGCGGGTCAATATGCTAATTATTATATTATTATAAAAAAAATTATTTTTAAAAATATTTAAAAAAAATATATATTAATATGATATTTTTTTATTTTTTAAGATTAATTTTTAATGCCATCACATGAAAATAATACAAAAATATCAATTAGCCCCGTAGCTAGACCAAAAGGTTTTAGTTTGGCTGCAAAGCTAGACCTAATATCCTAAAAAAATAAAATTAAAAATATCTTAAAATATATATTTTAAAAAATATATTGAGATTGTTTTTTTATTTTGTAAAATCTATTTTCTATATCATCACATCAAAATAATACAAAAAACAACACAAAATATTTATTTGAAGTAAAGAAAAAAATCAATTTTTTAAAAAGTATTTTTAAAAAGCAAAAATAAACATGGTTTAATAAAAAAAAATTCAAAACCAACCTTAAATGAAAAAAAATATCACGACCTAACTTTTTTACATATAAAAAAAGTCCAATCAATTTTTTTTTATAGTATGGAAAAAAAATTAGAAAAAAAATTAAAAAGAAAAAAATTAAAATTAAAAATATCTTATAAGAAAAAAAAATTAAAGGAAAAGAAATTAATTATCAGTGTATTTGGGCGCTACTCTGTTATACATTATTCATGATGCATATTGGACACTGTCCATCTCTATTGGATCCTGTTGTCAACAAGACCTATCTTTTATTGGATCTTGTTAGGTAATAGGGCCCACCTATTAGGGAAAAGAAATTCAATCAACCTAATCTTAAATAAAAAAGTATTTTCATTAGTTAACTTTTATATAATATAAAAAACTTTAATCAATTTATTTTCTCTTTATTATATGAAAAAAGAAAAAAAATTTAAAAAGACAAAAAAACTAAAATTGGATATATCCGAGTCTGGCTCAAAGCCGGACCTAACATCTATTGGAAGCGATTTGGATCTGGCTGCCAAGGCAGACTCAACAACTTTTAGCATAGAAAACACAAAAAATAATGCCTTTAATATTACTTTTTGACTAAAAAACAGCAGAAATAACACCTTATAACATTTTATAGTGCTATAGTGTCATTTTCAATGCAAACACTTCATATTTATAATATAGTTAATAGTGCAATGAGTTTACGTCTATAGTAAATATACAATACCATACAATACTTTTCTTATTCTTTTTAAAGTATAATATAATATTTGGCTTTGATTTTTAAAACAACTAAAAATAATTAAAATAAATAAAATATTTATAAGTTATTTTCTTTTTGTTGTTTTTTTCAACATTGCTATATATTTATGAAAAATTCACATGACTACCATGTGATTCTCTCAAGTGAGTTAATATTAGTTAAAAAATGTGTTACATAGATTTTTGTTAACAATTGAAATCAGTTATAAATGTAATGAATATAGGGTCAAATTTGAAAAATTATTTATACAGGGTTCAAGTTGCCAATATGATACAAGCTCATGGTCTCAAAATAGGGTTTTTCTAAAATCTTAGTTAGAAACTAAATATCTAGAAATCATATCTAAATATATTAATACATTTCATATAGTGTTTACAATAATTATAATTTTTTTCCTGTCGTTTTTCATGTAATACTAAGGTATTGGAAGAAACTAATTATTTGTATAAAAATAAATATATTTGCCAATCAATCATCAATGAACATATTTATTTATTGAATTGGATTATTTCACACAAAAAATAGTGACAATGGCTGCTGAAGATGCTTTGTATCATTATATGATTGGTTTGGTACTCTTGGCACCTTATATTTTGAATGCAGATTTTAGCTTCGTAAATAAAAAAAAAAAGTATGATATTTTTGTGTTTAATAGTTTTGCAATATAATATTGAAGTTATTGGTACTTGGTTATTCTCTTTTCTTGTTTTTATTGTTTGTTTATCTGATGAAAGAGAAGTATATTAGTATTTGTTTTTTGAGTTTTCCTCTGTTAATCTAGACTAATTTATTTTTTAATTGTAAAATTATATATTTATCATGTTAATTTATATTTATTTACATTAATTTTCTTGTTATTTTTTATTTTTATATTTTTTGTGAAAAAATGTTTTTTTCTTGGTTATCTTAATTATGTTTTTGTTATTTGTTATTATTATTTTTTTATTTTATTCAAATAAAACTAAATAATTTGGCTAGTTAAGATTATAACTTCAATTATTAGATTTTTTTATATAAATATATTTACATTACCTTAATATTTTACATTAAAAAACTGGTTATACGAATATAATTCAATCAAGTTTTAAGGAGGTGTTTGACAGTGTAGTAATAATTATTTTTTAAAATTTATTTTTATATCATTAAATCAAAATAATTATAAAAATATATATATATTTTTTAATTTTAAATATTTATAACACAATTTCAATAAAAAATAATAACATAAAAAATATAATTTAATTAGTTAAATTTGAATGAGTTTGCTTTTTAGAAGTTATTAATTTGAGGTGATTAATTCATAATAATAATAATAATAATAATAATAAAATTATTAAAAAATTATATAATTATTAATTTTAAAATATTAAAAAATTAATTAATGTGACCTAAGCCTGCATGAATACTCACAATTAAAAAAAAAAAACAATAAAAAAATAATATAAAACACAAATCCACTTACCATTCGAACCAAAC